GGGGGGGGGCGGCGGGGGCGGCCGGCGGAGCCCCCGCGGGAGCCGCGGGCGGGGGGGGGGGGGGCGGCGGCGAGGGGAAGCGGAACTGCCCGTAGGGAGCGGCGGGGGGGGGGGGCGGGGCCGCGGGGCCGCCCGGCGGCTGCGGGGCCGCGGGGCCGCCCGGCGCCTGCGAAGGCGGAGGAGGCGGCGGCGGCGGCTGCGCCGGCGGCTGCGGCTGCGGAGGCGGCGGAGGAGGCGGCGGAGGAGGCGGCGGAGGCGGCAGAGCCGCGAAGGGGAAAGCGGCGGCGGCCATGGGGGCGCGGGAGGCGGCGGGGCCGGGAGCGGGGCCGGGCTGGGCCGCGCTCGCCCCGGTCGCCATAGAACGGCCCCCGCGCGGCCTTCGCGAACCTTCCACGCCGCCGCGCCGCGCGCGCCGCGCTGATTGGCCGCGCCGCCCGTCGATCAACGGGAGAGCACACCGCGATTGGTTGAGGGGGCTGTCCGTCAGCGCGGCGGCCGCGGGGATTGGCCGGAGAGCGGGCGGGAGGGCGGAGGTGGACGCTGAGGCGCTGGCGGCGGGGATTGGTCGACGGGGCTGTCGCTCAAGCGGAAAGCGGGGGAAGGGGGGCCAGAACGGCGAGCAGTGATTGGCTGTAGCGCGGAGGGCGGAACACACCGCGGAGCCTCCACTACCATTGGCAGCACCCCGCCCCGCCCCGCGCCCGCGGACGGGGACAGCCGGAGACCCCGTGGCGGGCCGGAGTGACGTTCGCAGCAGACTTTGGCCGGGCGCAGCTGATTGGTTGGCTCATGTGTCGCTCAGGAAAGCCGCGCGCTGATTGGCGGAGACGGCGGCGGAGGGCGGGCGGGAGAGGGGCCCGCCAAAACCTCTGGCGAAGCATGGCGGGAGCTGCCCGCGCGCGGAGCATCATGGGAGCCGCCCCCTCATGAGGGGTCCGCGCCCCCCAAAAACGCAGCAGGAGGCGCCCGGTGAAACCAGCGGCAATTTTATTTTATTATCCATCATTCCACGGCCTCCCCCTCACCCGGGCTCCTGGAACTTCCCCCATCTCGGTTCTCCCCCCCCTCAAATCCGGGCCCCCCCCCCAAAGTCCGTTCTGAGGGTCTCCCCAAAGGTCTCGTGTTGGGCACCCCAAAACTGAGCTGTGCCCCCCCAAAAAAATCCTATTCCTTACGCCACCTCTGCTCCCCAAACCTCCCTGGTAAAGTCTCTGAACCCCCAAGTCCAAAAGTCCCCCAAAATCTGCCAGCCCCTCATCCTTACCCAGATTCCCCCCAAATTCCTGCCCAAGTTTTCCCCCAAGTTCCTCCCCTCCCATTTTGGGGAGAGAATTTTGTCTGGAACCTGTTGAGAAAGGGTTGGGGGAGCTGCACCTGGGGCAGGGCCAAGCTGGAATTTTGAGGTTTTTGAGGGTCCCTATGGAACCTTTTTGGGATTTCCTGAGGAAGGGCAGGGGGACACTGCGTCTCCCTGGGATTTTGGGATTTTTTTGGGCTCCATTTTGGGATTTTTGGGATCCCTAGGAGCCTTTCCGTGGCCTCTTGAGGAAGGGCAGCAGGACACGGAATCTCCCAGGGATTTTGGGGTTTTTTGGGG